ACCGGCTCAGGGTTGCTCCACCCTTCAATCCTCCCAGGTGGGGAAAAATAAGACCCCGGATGATTGTTGGGGGCAATATGCTGATTCTGTAAACCGCTTAGAGAGGGCTGAAAGCCCTATGAAGTGGTATATAAGTCTAACTGCTATTGCTATTACCTAGAATTAAGGAGAAACTTCCTGACCATGAGAACCACAAACCAATGGAACAGCCTGCTTTCAGAAGTTGTGGCTGCTCCATCACTGGAGATTTTTAAAGAGACTGGAAGTCATTTGTCTGAAATAGCATAGGGTCTTCTGCTTGGGTAGGGGGTTAGATTAGAAGACCTTCAAAGTCTCTTCCAACTCTTGTTATTCTGTTATGTTGGAAAAGGGATAATTCAGAAAGGAGTTTCAGTGTCCATTTTACCTGTACTGCTTGCAAGACAAACCAAAAGCACGGATTGAGCTGTGTACCTTCTTGTTCATTCATGGGTAAACCAAAAACCTGATTTTCGGTGACCTTCCATTGTTGATGAAGTCATATGCATGTTGTTGACTGTAAAGTCACTTTTGCGATGGGTCTAGGATAACTTGCCACAGCCAACTTACATGGGACACTTCAACATGGGATAACTCAAGTGAGTTACAGTAAGCTTTGTCTTGATTTAGGTTTGTACCTAAGTTAGAAGTCCTTGAGTCTTCTAAGCCTGGGTGAGCTTCAATTCTACTTGTCCCTCTCTTGAGTTATCCCCATGTTGAATTCTCCCACGGCCAATTGTCCTGTGGCAAGTTGGCTGCAGAGAATTGTCTTGTGGCAAGTTGGCTGTGGGCAAGATGACCCATTCCAGTTTAAGGCTTCAGTCCTCAAATAATGAATGTTATGAATCTACATAAAAGAGAACAACATTAAAAAAAATCCTTAATAAATCCTTGATTATAAAAAGCAGGAATAGGTTTATGAGTGCTTGTGGAGGAGTAGTGAGGTGATCTAGGATGACATAAGAGCCTTTCATCTTACAATAAAGTCGGATATTTGCAGAGATGATTGAAAGAAGGGAACAGGGTTTCCTTTGTATCTAAATTGTCTTCTTGAATGCAGGTAGTCAAGTAATATGCACGTACAACATTACTAAACCAAACCAAACTGAATTAACAATAAGACATTTGGAACCCAACACAAAGTACCTGCTTGCAATTAAGGCTTACACTGTCAAATCTGAATATAATGACAATGACAACTTTACATCCGTGTATACATCAGCTGACAGTAAGTCCTGATTAGTTGTATTTATTTACTGTGGTTATAAACACTGAACTTTCAATTTTGGCAGCTTGAGAGATTGATGTGTCTTTTATTTCACTTTATTCTGAACATAACAGTTCACCTTTCTACCTATAGAATGCATGGGATGGCCAATAGCCTAACAATAAAGCACTTAAAATAAGTAATATTATTAAGACAGTTCAAAAGCCCTGGTTGCACAGGGCTTTCCTTGCATTCCCTTTTAAAAAACATATTGTGAATGTACTTGCACCAACAAAAACAGTTTCTGGAATAGGCCCTAAGAGGAGATTAAAAGTTTAAAACCTTGGAACTCCCTATTCTGAAATGTATGAATAACTTTACTGTTCTAGGTTTTTTAGTTATGACCAATTTGCTATTGAGTGAAGATATTTTCAATTGATTTCTTTTTGGTGCGACTTTAATACAAGGGTTACCTTTACATCAGTTTGCTGGAGCAATTCAAAATAAATGGAATATATTTCATTTTGCACCAATCAAAGTTTCCTGAGTCTTCAAGGGTAATCATACTGATGACATCTGAGATATATCTAACTATGATGTAAGGCTTCAGTTACTACTGCCAAATCCCAGGAATGGGTGCTAGCAATTTATTGGCTCTCATGTACAATATGTTCCTTGCCATTACTGCTACCTAGAGATTACAGTGGTACCTTGGTACTCAACTGCTTTGAAACTCATCCAATTTGGTACTCAATGCATTTTGATGTGAAAATTTTGTCTTGGTACTCATTTGTTTGGTACAACAACAAACACACAAGCTAAAACTTGTCAACTTACCTGATGACTTGCATTATTCCTTATGGGAAAATATGTTTGGCATTCATCATTTTGGTACGCATCATGCCTCCCACAAACAATTCTTGATGACTACTGAGGTACCACTGTAAAGGAGTACAAGTAGCAACAATTGTGGGTCTGCTATGTCGGTAATGCAATCTTTGTGAAACTCACTTCAGAGTCAAAATTCAATGTAGTTTCCCCTTATTTGGGCCAAAGATGAGAGATTTAAGATTTACTAGCTATGAAAACAAGTGTGCTATCTGAAGACAGATGATTGATTGATTGATATATAAAGAGGGTCATTGGCAACATCATTTTTTAAATTAGCCCTTGCTGGTATTTTCCAGTTTGTATCAGATAAACAGAATTAATTAAAAGACCCTTACTGATGTCCTATTTCTTGGATATAAGCCTCCATTAGAAATTGTTTTTTTTCTCTTTAAGCTTAATTTAAAAAGTCTGCTTTAGATGAGAATTGTGTTGAAGAATTACAATTACATATTTAAATAGAAATGCACCTGTTTTTTTTCCCAACAGAAAAATGGCCTTTCCCTCTAATTCACCTACTAGTCATTATCCCATTAATGCTGACAATGTGCATGTGTTTCGAAAGAACTAATTGGTAAGTCTCCAGCAGCAAAAACATAAACAATAACAAATTAAGAAGCAACAGATGTAAACATTCTTTTTCAAATTATGCAAAGCTTTTGTGCAGACAGCATATATGTTCAATTGCCCTTGATATATTTGACTAAATTTCAGTGCCTAAATTTAAACTGAGTTTTCTTTTTGAAAAAAATCTTCCCACCTCTTAATGAAGAAACAAGCTATTTTTATTTGATTTCCCCATTGTTTTTTTTTCCCAGCTTAAAGAATTGTTTGTGTCCTGCAATACCACAGCCTAAAGTGACCCCATTTTTGAAGGTAAGGTTATATCATTAAGAAATTGCATTTGATCCACCTTCCTCAATTTGGTGCCATCCAGATGTGCTGATAATGCAGCTGCTGGAGTTCCCATCCAGGATGTTGGGATTCATGAATGTTCTACTATATCTAATAAGGTATTGGCAGCCAAAGAAGGGCAAAAGCGACATTACACTGTTGAAATTCAGAGTCCATCTCTTCTGTATTATTGTTGCATAGATACACATAAAAGTCAGCCCTTGTGCCCTGATGCAAGGTTGCATTCTTCATTTTTATGAAAACAGAAAACTTGTTTGAGACCTTGGAACTTTAGGTTAAGAAAACAGCTCACTTTTGTGTAGCTTTTTAAAACCATCCGTGTATCGACCTAAACATTTTGGAGATAGTGTATGAAAACAGATTAAAACAGTGATCCCCAACCCCCGGTCCGCGGACCGGTGCCGGGCCGTGGAGTACCTGGCACCGGGCCGCGCAG